CCGCGGGGGCGTCGAGGCGACCGAGCGCGCGACGGGGCCGGCGTCGATCGACCCCAACGGCGGTGGCGTCGCGAAACTCGCCGCGGGCGGTGACGCGGGCGCCGAGCGCGGCGGCGGCGCCGCGGACGTGGCCGGCGTGAAACGCCAAGAGCGCGCGGGCGTCGCGCCCGATCTCGCGCCCGTCCGCGCCCACGGAGGAGTCGCGCGCGGGAACGCAGCGCATCGGCGCGAACGCGTCGTCGTGGACGACGAACGTGCCTCGATTGTTCGTCCGAAGCGCGTCGGCGCGTTTCGCGTGCGTCGCCTGCCAAAACTCCTTGCACAGGAGCGTCATCGCGCCTTGGTCGTCGTGCGTCGGATCGGCGCGCGCGCACGCGAGGTGGGCTAATCCGTGCCCGACGCGCGCGCCGACGCGCTCGAGGTCGTCCTCGACCGCGGCGTCGTCGTCGTCGCTCGCGATCGAATCGCTCGACGTCGCGTCGCCCTCGCGTGCGCGCGCGCTGCGAACCTCGCGCACGAGCGCCGCGCACAGGTGCTCGTACGCCATCGCGCTCACCTCCGGGACCGCGCGCCCGGGCGTCATCGCGCGCGCGAGGGCGCGGGGAAGTGACGACGCGGATTCGTGCATGTGTGCCGTCAGTGCTCGACGCGTTTCGATGAACACCGACGCCGACGCCGCGGCGTTCGTCGCACCGAGCGAAACGTTGGGGCGTTTTCTCGATCGGGCGCTGGTCGAACCCACGTGCACGGGTTTAGCGTTCGTGGACGGAGAGGGAGAGGGTCGGAATCAGCATCAGCATCAGCATCAGAAACATAATCACAATCACAGTCGACGAAGAACGGTCGGTGCGCTCGTCCCGGGGGAGATCTTAGAGATCGTGGGTCCACCGGGGAGCGGGAAGACATCAATTTTGACGGAGATCGCGTCGAGGGCGACGCTGACGCGAGGACGGAGCGATGGGATCGATTTGGGGGGGAGCTCGGCGACGTGCGTCTTCGTCGACTGCGACGGCAAGTTTGATCAGTTGAGATTTTTGCGAACGACGGACGAGAAGATCGCGGATGGGGTGGCGCGAGCGGGGAATCGAGCGCGTCAGGGAGCCAGGGAGGAGATTTACGAGGAATCCATGTCGAGGTTTACCGTGGTACGGGCGCACGCGATGCTGGACGTACTCAAGGCGCTCGCGGCGCTCGACGCCGCGTGGGGGGGAGAGGTGGACGCCGGAGGGGCGTTCGGCGAACGCTCGGGCGAGGGGTTTAACATTGATGGGAGCGAGAGCACGGGCGGTGGGAGCGAGAGCGCTCGGGGCGATCGACGGTCGAGGCAGCGGGTGGTGCTGATTGATAACATTGCGGCGTTTTATTGGTTGGATCGAGCGTCTCGCAAGGATCACGGGGCACCTTATAACATTCAGCGCGTCTTCTCGGCCGCTGCAAGACTGCTCAAGCGGCTAGCCACTGCGCACCGAGCGGCTATAGTTGTGACGAAGGCGACGTTGAGCACGAATGAAGGTTTGCGGGGAGGGGAGTATCGCGATTTCCTCCCCGTGGAGTGGTCGAACGCGGTGACGCAAAGAATCTTACTCTCCCCATCCAAGGAGCGCGTCGAGTACGGCGAATACGCCGGGGTTGCGACCTGGGACACTCCAGTACAACGACGAGGAGGGAAGTTCGTGGTCACCGAGCAAGGCATTAGATGTTGATGAAAACGCGCGCGCCGAAGGTGAAGGAGCGACGATTTGGTTGTCACCCGTTGTGATACCATTACAATACATGATGTAGTGAACAATTCGAACACTCGAAAAAGAATCCATACTAGTATTATTTAGTTCGATTCCCTTCCTCCCTTGCTCTCTCTCTCTCTCTCCCACTCTCTCTCTCTCTCTCTCTCTTCTCTCTTTTGCAACTACGCCTCTTCAAGCTCACTCCTCATCCCACTGCATGTCAAAAGGACACGTGGGCGACGCGTTCTCAGTGACACGATGCTCATAGCCCATCTTACTAACGATGTCATGCCCGATCGGTTTCGGAACCTGGATCGTCAACGAGTTGAACTCGGCTGAGGTCTCAACCTCATCCATCGCCTCGTCTTCTGCGCAAGCTTCGTCCCAAAGCTTGAGCATGTGCGCCACCAACGGATAAATTTGCTGCGGCGTAACGTTTCCGGCCGCGCGCAGCTCGGGGGAGCACATCGGTTTCACCCCGAGGTGCACTCGAGCGGTGGCGATGACGGCTGAGGCGATTTGTGACGGCGGCTGGTTCAACAGGCTCGTGTCCTGCACGCACAGTGAGTACAACTGGCACACAAAGTATCGTAGTTCCTCGCGGTATCGCTCCTTATACGCGTCACCGTGTTCGATATCATCACCATCAGAGATACCACCGTTCGTGAGCGCCAAGAATGACTCCAAGAAGTGCGCCGGCGTCAACACCCCGAGGTCCCACCCGAGCTCGATGAGCACCGCGAGTTCCATCTTTCGAATGATTTCCGGCGAGTACATGTTCGATGTCCACGATCTCAGCTTGCTCATCGTTGGCACTCGTTCCTCAATCTCTTCATACTTCACCGCAATATGCAAGCAGCACAGCGCGACGAGATGTAAAGACGTCTTTGGTACCACCGTCTTCGACAGCACGCGATCCTACCGAGGGAAAAGAAAAGTTTACTGTTACGTCAGTCGTCTCGCTCTCACATCGCTCTCAATCATCCATCATCCCCTCTGAGCGCCTCGAGAGTCAAACGCGGAACACAAACACTCGATTCTTTCGTTTCGAGCATTCAAGCCGAGTTTTCACCCCTAAACACCCTCCACGTCTCGCGCGACTAGTTTGAAAATCGAGGGTGCCCGCCAACCTGGGACAGGCTTTTGTAACCACCTCGCGCTACGAACGCACCGTGTACGCGATCGCCACGTCCGCCGTCGTCGGCCCGAACCGCTCGCCCGCGCAGACGTCTAATATCCATTCCACCAACTGCGATCGAAACGCGCAGTGATGCGCCGCACGCGCGTCGAAGACGAAAGAACCGTGCGTTTCACGCTCGCGCGCGAGAAGCCCTTTCGCGACGTCCAGTTGCGTCTCTTGAGAGTCCGGGTCGTGCAACGCCGGCGTTCTGTGGGTCCAGAGCGCCGCGCTTTGATGGACGATAAAGTCTTGCTCACTTCGAAGCGCATCCACGGCGTATTCGGGCCACGACGCGAGCGCCGAGACGCGTTCTCGTTCGTAATCCCCGTCCGGCGCGAGCGCCACCGTGCTCGCCGATCGATCGGTGGAGAAGGACGACGTCCTCGAGCGATTCATCGCGCACAACCCGTCGACGCTCGGCGCGCGCGTCATGATGCAACCGTCCTCTTTCGAGCGCTCGCGCGCGCCCTCGTCGGACGCGCGCGACGCGTCGACGACGCCCGTCGACGCGACCATCGTCGTCCGATCGTCCGGTGCGGTGCCACCGACGCCCCTGCCCGCGCGTCGCCCGCGACGTCGATCGCCCGTCGACGTCCGCGCGCGACGCGCACGAAATCCCTCCGCGCGCGCGAGCGATCACCCGAACCACGCGGTCGTCCACGGCGTCACCGCGAGCGCGCGTGTGCGACCGCCCCCTCGTCGCCGGCGCGGGATACGAGCGTTACCGCGCGTCCGGTCCCACGCGTCCGTTCGCATCGCGCGCTGGGGCGATGGACGTATTCCATGCGCGTTCGGGCCATGTGATGCTTTTACCACACCGATCGCGCTTTTTGTGTCACACACATCGACGAAACACGCGTCTTCTATGGGAAATATCCCACGCGCGCGCGGCGACCGCGATCGCACCCCCCCCTCGACGCGAGTCCTGACCCATAAAAACGGCTTTTTAGCACGCGCGCGTGGTAAAATCCACGCCATCGTCGCCGCGCCGCCGTCGCGCCGGAGTGCTGACTCGGAAAAAAATCCCGCGCGTTTAAAAAGTTTAAAAAGCGCACCGCGTCGACAGCCTTTTCGCGACGGCGTCTCGCGCGCCCGTGGAGGTCGACCGCGCGACGGGCGACGCGCCGCGGCGGTCGATCGCGCCCGGCGTCGTCGTCGCGCGCGTCGTCGTCGTCGTCGTCCGTCGTCGTCGTCGTCATCGTCGTCGTCGTCGTCGTCCGTCGTCGGTCCCGGCGCGCGAGCCCGGACGCGATGGACGTCGACGCGATCGACGTCGACGCGATGGACGTCGACGCGATCGACGTCGCGCGATGGACGTCGCGCGAAACGTCGCGCGCGCGCCCCGGGAGGTGCCTGATCGGCGTCGAGTGCACCGTATACGGTATCACGAAGCGTCGTCCGCCGACGTCGCGCGCGTACTAGGTTGGGGACATCACGATCTATGTATGGGTCGTGATGGTGATTTCAAATCACGATGTCGTGCTTGAGATTGTGATTTCATAGTGCGTGTACGTACAGCCTATTATTTTTTCTGATAGTGACAGTGATAGGCGTCAAGGTACTGCTACTACGACATGTCGGCACCGATGTCGAGGACATGCAGCGATGATGCGTCCATCATGTCACCGGTCGACCCCTGTAGCGCGTCGCGTCGACACCGCTCGCGCGCGCTCGAAAGGTGAAATCACCTTCGATGGGTCGTGCGCGTGATGCACATCACGAAGTGTCGGGTCGTGATTTAAATCGTGATGCAGATTGTCCCCGACCGAGCCGCGCGCGCCGTCGATGATGGCGTCGTCGCACGATGCTCTACGTACAGACACACGTATACGGCGACGTATTCGACCATGTATCACCCCCTCGAACACTCGCGCGCGCGCCATCGCCCACGTGTGGACGATGATGGGTGATTTCAGCTCATCGTACGAGACGACGCCCCGTCGCCGACGTAACACCCACGCGCGTCGCGATCGCGTCTCGATCGCGCGCGCGCGGGGAGACCCGACGCCGACGCGTCGGCGTCGACGAGACGGACGACCATGCGGTGCTGCGCGCGCGGGGAGACGCGCGGAAGGGGCGGTGCCGGCGACGGGGGGGGGGCGGATGCGCGTGAACACCCACCCGGGCGAGTGACCGACGACGCCGTCGCGGACGATGACTCGACCGACGTCGACGATGCGGGCGAGCGCGGTGCGATCGATGCGAGGGCGTGGGATGGATCGACGTCGACGTGTGGGTCGATCGAGTACGGGGAGGAAGGGGGGCGACGAAGCGCGTGGGATCGCGCCGAGGCGGGCGCCGAGGCGGGCGGCGGCGCGGACGCGTCGCCGACGCATAGCACGTTTGGAAGGGATAGCGAGCGTAAGAGACGGATGCGAAAGACGTCGAGGCTCTTGGCGGAGCGCTTGGGGGGGCGAGTGAGCGCGTCGAGCGATGATGAAGAGTTCGCGAGCGGGTACGAGCGCGCGCGGGCGGGCGGCGACGAGGAGCGCGGTTTTGGTTTCGTCTCGAAGGCGGACATCGCGGAGCGGAAGCGTCGAGAGGAAGAGCGTAAGGATGAGGAGCGGCGCGCGAAGAAGGAGGCGAAAAAGCGCGAGCGGCGTGAACGACGCGAACGTGAGCGCCGCGAGGCGGCGGAGAGCGAGACGGCGAGTCTGTTAGATAACGGGGGGCGTCCGAGGAAGCGAATGTTCTTCAAGGCGTCGGTAGTGACCAAGGTGATCGTTGCCTCCGCCGCCGTCGTCGCGTGCGGGGTCGGGGCGGTGATGTACGCGCGCGGTGGCGGCCACGATTTTCCCAACATGATGAAAATCAGGAGCGGAGAAACCACGCTCACGACGGCGGATCCCGCGCTTCAGCCATTGAAGTCGACGACGGATACGATATTGAAGCAAGGGACGAGTGGTGAGAGTAATTCGACGAAAGAAGACGCGAGTGATGAGAAGAAGGTTGAAGTCAACGAAGCGGGGTCGGGTGAGAAAAGGAATAAGTCAAAGAAAGACGCTGACGCGGACGATGACGACGACGACGACGACGACGACGACGACGACGATGAATCCTCCGAGAAGAGGAAGAAAAATTCAAAGAAGAAGTTCGTCGAGGCCTCGCTCGGCGTGGTGCGCTTGAATGACGACGTGAAGGTGACTTCCGCTTGCTCGCCAATACACAGCGAATCCGTCCACGGAATATATCGTCAGTACAACAAGGCGTGTATGGGTGAAGGGCACAAACCGACGGGATGCATGCAGTCCACGAGCGAGGGTTGCCAAAGTTGTTTCCTCGATGGCTCGCCCGCGTCGACTCAGAGTGGCTCGTACGCGCGGTGTTCTCATCACGTCTGCAGCGCCTTCGGCGTCAAAGGCTGCGATCCGGATCCGTTGGCCGGCGAAAAAGATCAAACGGATGAGGTAAAAGAAACTGAGGCGAAAGAGGGCGATGACGGAGAGGAGAAAAAGCCCTCAACCAGACCACGCACCTGGACCACGCCAAAGAAGTCTCTCTCGCGTCTCGCCGCGTCGAACGAAAACTCTGGTGACCTCGAGACGTGCCTTCCGAACCTCGAGGACGCTAAGCGCGGGATATTTCAATACTCCGAACGCTATTGCCGAACCATGGGGCACACCGACGTGGACTACTCCGGCTGCGTCTCCGTCGGCAAGTCCTCTTGTCGCATGTGCGTCACCAAGAGCGCCAGCGGCGCTGGCGCGGCGTTCTCAGTCTGCCCTCGCTCGGTGTGCGAGAACCATGATTTATTGTATCAACAGTGCGCCGATGAGTCCTCGGAACGATAGAATTTGGTAATATCGAAAGTGAATCGAAGAATAGAGTGTGCAAACTATTACATTGTTAGACCGGCGCGCGATGACTCGAGTCACGAGCGCGAGACTTAGAGGTAGAAGTCGCGCTGTCTCGATTCGCCGCCGACTTCTTTCAACTTTTTCAGAATCTTCGAGAAGTATTCCTCCAAATACTGCTCTAGCGTCGTCACTTCATCTTCGCTCATGCCCAGAATCTTGTACGTCTCCGTCATGTCGGCGTCAAACTTGATGCCGCTCGCGAGGATCTCCGCGAACGCGAGACGGTCACTCGCGGCCGAAGACCACTGGAAAAAGCGGGTGAAAGCGCGAGTAAACTTTAATAGACCGACCGGAACTTTTTGCACTTTCGCCTCGGCGCCGCCGAGCTTTTCGCACAGGGCGATGACTTCGCGGACGCTGTACGATTTCGGTCCGGCGAGCGTCAACACCTTGTTCGCCGCCTCATCGCGTCTTACGGCCGCGAGCGTCATCTTCGCCACGTCTTGCGTGTCGAGATACGCCGTTCTCGTGTCGTCGTCCGTGCCCCAAAGCGGTTGCTCCTCGAGCACCGGTACGGCGTAACCCGCGATGAGCGGCTGCATGAAGCCGCACAGTCGCAACACGGTGAAATCCATGCCGCTCACCTTGAGGTACTCCTCCACCGCGTACTTCATGTTCATCAGCGGAACTTCCCTGTGCTTATCACACTGATCGATCGAAAAGAACACGTACCGCGCGATGCCCATCGCCGCCGCCGTTTGAATCGTCGCGACTTTCGCCTCCCAATCGATCGCGTACGAGTCCTCCTCCGGCCTCGCCGTCGAGCAATCGATCACCGTGTGCACGCCCACGAACGCCGGCGGCAGCATCTCCGGCTTGGTCAAATCCGCGCTCACCGTCGTCGCACCCCAATCGCGCAAGAAATCCGCCGGGTTCAGCCTCGGTCTGACGAGGCATCGCACGTCGTATCCCTCGTCCAGGGCCCGTCGCACGACTTGCCGTCCGAGCGTTCCCGTGGCCCCGATCACGAGCAGCGACGTCTTCTTCACCGCCGTCCCGCCGGCGTCGAGCGTGTCGCTCGCTCCGGCGTCTGCGCTCGCCCTCGACGCGCGCCCGCGCGCGGGCGACGCGCCGACGTCGAGCCATCGCGGTCGAGCGGTCTCGCGGCGTCGCGCGCGCGTTCGCGCGAGCGATCGACCCTCTCGCGCGCTCGCGGGGCGCGACGCGGCGCGCATGACACGTGCGCGCGTCCGCGGGCGGTTCGTCGGCGCCGCGGGCGCGCCGTCGCGGTGTGCGGGACGTCATCGAGGGCGCGTGCGAGACGTCGACGTCATCAAAATGGCATCGCGATTGGTCTTGAGTCGTGATCGGTGATTGGTGCTCGCGAGACGCGTCGGCGCGCGGGGCGGATGTCGCGCGGACGACCGGACGGCCGGCGCGACGTCGCGCTCGAGAGTGCCGGTGCGTGCGGTGGGATGGATCACAACATGTCCTCGCGGTCGAAGAAGGCGCCGTCGCGGGGTGGGCGGGGCGCGGCGCGGGCGTCGTCTCGGCGGCGCGAGGCGTCGCTCGCGCGGTCGACGTATCGCGGTCTCGATGCCGCCGCGGACGTCCGACGCACGGGACGGTCCCAGTACGCGTCCACGGTTTCTCTTCGATCGTCGCGGTCGCGGATGACCCAGTCGGAGAAACCGGGGCGGTCGCCGTAGCCGCCGTCGACGTCCCGACGCTCGTACGGTTGCGTCGGACGCACGAGGGGTATGCCCTCGCGCGCGCGAGACGATCTCGCGGCGTTCTCGCGCGTTGGTTCGCGACGTCGACGCTCGGAGAACGCGGCGTACTCGTCCGCGGCGACGCGACGCGCGCGCGGAGGCGCTCTCGACGCGTACTCGTACGCGTCGTCGTAATACGGATCCCCGTACGCCTCCATCTCCTCTTCCCACGGGGGAACGGTGAGCGATAGGCGCTGTAAAACGCTCACACTCAATTGTTCCACGCGACTCTCCGCGCCCTCGCTGACGATGATGCGCTCTTGACCGCATCGAATCACCTCTCTGATGTCCACGGCGTACGTCGAGATGACGCCCTCGGGAACCGTGGGAACGCCCCAGGCGTCGACGATCAACCGCGCGATCGACCCATCCTCGGGATTAAACTCGTAATCTCGCACTCTTCCGATGAACTGCCCGCTCTCGCTCACGACGTCCTTACCGACGACGGTCGTGTACCCGTACGAGCTCCACCGTCGCTCCACCGCGCTCTCGTCGTGGACCAAAATAACATCCCCGACCTGCCTCAGAGACTCCAAGAGAACGTGATCAACGACGCCCACGAACGCATTCTCGCGAATGTCCATCGCGACCACGTCCCAGGAATCGGTATCGACCCAGAGCTCGCACGCCGAACCCAAGCGCGCGCCGCTCGCGCGCGTCACCACGAGCTTATTCAAAATGAGCCCACGCGTGAGCGTCACCTCGCGCTCGCGCGCTCGACCCCCTCCGCGACGCCCCTTTCGTTCAAGATGCATCCCGTCGCCCCCGTTCGCGGGCATCGAGCGTTCGTTCGCCCCTCGCGCGCTCGCCCCCGAACCTCGCGCGCTCGCGCGTCGTCCTCTCGCCACCTCTCGCGTCGCATCCGCGCCTTCGCTCGACGCGCGCGCACCGCTCGCGCGCGCGCGTCCGTCGTCACCGGTACGTCCGCTCGTCGTCGGCGCGCGCGCGCGCGCGTCCTCGCCGTCGCCGTCGTCGGCGCGCGTCGTCCCGTTCGTCGAATTCGATGGAATTCGTCCGCTCGATCCGTCGTCACGCGACGCGCGCGCGCGACACGCGCGTGGATTCACCCGTGATTTATTCTCCACCGAGCGCGACGCGCGCGGGCCGCCGCGCGCGCTCGCGCGCGTCGCGAGCGCGAGCGACATGATTCGAAGTGCCGACGACGCGCGGCGGCGGGTGGCTTTCACGCCAAACGCTCGCTGATGGATGTGTATCGTGATTGAATACGCACCGTGTGTCCGATGTGTCCATGGACGTCCCGAACCGCGCGCGCGCCGAACGCGGGACGTCGCCCGCGCCCGTCGCCCGCGGGCGCGGCGTCGGCGCACGCGACGCTCGCGCGCGGTTCGGGACGCGCGCGCGCGGGCGCGGCGCTCGAGCGCGGCGTCGCGCGGCGCGCGTCGCGCGGGGTGGACGTCCGTGACGCGTGCACAGAGTAAAATGGATTAAAATTGAACGGAATACGGGAGTGGAAAAAAACGCTCGAAAACGCTCGAGTTCTGCGAACGAACAACGCCGCGTCACACCCCGACGCGCGCGCGCGTGAGCGCGCGATGGACGGCGCGATGACGTCCGAGCAGCCCACGTTCGCGCCGTTCTTCCGCATCGCCGGTACCGGGTACGCGATCGATGAGAAGGGCACGCCTGAGTACAGACAAATGAAGCACGGGTGGCAGAGCGAGTGGACGATGGACGACGAACCGACCGAGTCGCACGCGCTGTCGAGCAACCCGGTGGTGATGTACGACGTGCCGGAAAATTCCCGAAACGCCGCGGACGTCATCGCGGCGTGCGAGCGAGCGCTCGACGGCGAGCGCGTCGTGCGGGCGTTCGTGCCGCCGGGGCGCGACTTTGCCTTTGTCACATTCGCCAGGGACGCCGGCGCGAAGGCGCTGTGCGATCGAGGCGTCGCCTTCGACGACGGACGCGGGAACGCCATCGCGTGCGCGTGCGCCCCCGCGAGAGTTCCGGGACCGGCGGTCGTGCGCTGGCGCGACGACCTTCGCGCGTCGGCGTCGGCGTAGCGCGCCCGTCCGCCTCGTGTCATCCATTTGAAGCGACTATGTACTGTTTGCCCATATATGAATATGATGACGTCGGCACGTTGGCACGCGTTCGCTCGCGCGCGCGTCACGGTGCGACGCGCGTCGAGCGCGAGCGATTCACGCGCCCGCGATGCCGCACGCGTCGTCCATCACCGCCCACGTCACCGCGAATCGCGTGAACGTCGATCACGCGCACCAAAGACGGCGACGTGGACGATCGAGCACGACGTGCCGTCGTGCGACGAATGCATCTTCTCCCGCCGTCGACGCACCCGCGGACGCGTTCAGGCGCGCGCTGGAGGACGTGCGCGCGCGCGTAAATGATGCCTTGCCGGTGGAGGCGCGACGGGCGGCGACGCGGGCGGCGTACGCGTCGAGCGCGTCGTTGCGATTTGCGTTTTTCTTGTCGCAAGTCGTCTCCAACTCGCGAGAGACGGACGCGCGGGATTTAGACGTCGCGGCGATCGCGCAGGTGGTCGGACGAGTCGTGCTGGGTACTGACACCGCCGACAAGCCGGCGGCGATGGTGACGAAGACGATGGATGGGGAGGAGATGGCGAACGAGCAGGCGGAGAGCGTGAACGCGTTTTTGGAGAGCAACATGGGCGCCATTCTCGACGTGTTCAAGCGCGAGATGGAGTTCGTCGAGGACGGTGTGTATAAGTTTCCGTACGACATGGATCCAGCGACGGCGCCGGCGTCGCAGTGGAATCCGGTCGCGGTGAGCGCGCTCGCCCGGGCGAACGCTCGGGACCAGCGAGAGGTTGCGAAGAGGAGAGAGGCGCAAAAGGGACAAGAACTTCGCGAGACCTACGTCGCCGATCCGAAGCGGTACCCTGATTACTACTTGCAAAACTTTCACTACCAGACGGATGGGTGGTTAAGCGCGCAGAGCGCGAGATTGTACGATTTCCAGGTGGAGTGCCTATTCCTGGGTTCGGCGGATGCGATGCGCCGCCGAGCGCTCCCATACATCGCCGACTTCATGCGCAATCGCGACGCGAAGACAACGAAGCACTTAGATGTGGCGTCGGGCACCGGTCGTTTCTTGTCCTTCGTGCGCGATAACCACCCGGAGTTGCAGAGCACGGCGCTCGAGCTGTCGCCGCACTACCTCGAGGCAACTCGCAAGATCAACAAGCGTTTCGAGGGCAAGGGCGGAAGTCTGCGCCTGGTCGAAGCCAACGCCGAGGAGATGCCGCTCGAGGACAACGAGTTCGACATGATTACTAATGTCTATCTCTTCCACGAGCTTCCGCGCCCAGTTCGAGTGACCGTTGCCAAGGAGATGGCTCGCGTGTTGAAGCCGGGCGGCAAGCTCTTCTTCGTGGATAGCGTCCAAATCGGCGACGGCAAGGACATCGGCATGGAGAGCGCGTACGAGCTCGCCATCGAACGATTCCCCGCGTTCAACCACGAGCCGTACTACAAAGATTACTCAGTTACCAACCTCGTCGAGCTCTTTGAAGAGGCTGGCTTGCGTCACGAAGCCACCTCGGAGGCTTGGGTGTCCAAGACTATGGTCTTCTCCAAGCCGTTCGACGGCCAAGATATGACGACTGCGTCTAGCGAGGTCGTTGAACCGCAAGAAGTCGAGGCTCCCAGCGCTGTGGTCGAGAACATGAAGTCAGAAACGACCCCGATCGAGGCGGAGACCGAGCCTGAGTCGTCCGAGCCTGAGTCGGACATCGGCACGCGCAAGTTTTAAAGAACTCGTCCGTCCAGTCACCGATGACGAGCATCGAAGCGCTGCGCTGTATTTATTTTCGATACCACTATGCTTATGAATTATAAGTTACACTTATCTACACCCAACTAAACTCTTAGCCCTGTCTACTGTTCAACGACAACGCGTCGAAGCCCCAGACAACCAACTCCTCGTTGAAATGTCCAACGAAAGCAACGAGACCGGCGATACCGAGGACGTTCTCCACCAGACCTGGACCCTTGCGATCGCTCAGAATCAGTCGATGGCTTGCGGCGTCCTTGTACCCGCGCGCCGTCACTGCGTCGCTTATTGCCGCGGAGTTTGCGAAGAGCGAGTCCAACAATCGACTCAGCAGTCTTCCGCTCATATCCACGCTTCCTCGCCAACCGAGCGATCTCCAATCGATGTTGCGCGCGGCGAGACCTAAACTCAGGTTTCGCACCTCTTCGAACACGATCGAGGTGAATCGAAGCGACAGTAACAGGGTGAAAATCAACTCCTCCACAGGAACGCGAAGCGCGCGAAGTGGCGTCAGGTACCACCGCAAACCGGCAGCCATGGCCTCGGGCGTGGTCACGCACAGCGCCAAGTGCGCGCTTTGTAACACCGTAAATGTGAGCGCCGACGACGTCACCGCCAAGTTGATCCCCTTCCTCGTCAACTGCAGCGGACCGAGGTGAAACAACACGTACTTGTACGAGCTTGCGAGCTCTGGTAAGCCCTCCAATCCCTCCAAACTCGCCGGCGGCTCGCGCGCGGAGACCACGGGCGCGACTGAATCCGCCCCCAACGCCACGGCGACAAAGAACACCGCGCACACCGTGATCAAGGACTGTAACTGCGGTCGCCACACCCGTCTCGGCAGCGCCGCCACCGTAACCGCCGCCACCACGGAGCACGTGAACAACTTATCCTCCGAGCTCCCGCTCGCTGGCAGTACCAAGAGCGCTCCCAACCACGCCTGCTTCACCCTTGCGTCCATCCTGTGCAGCGGTGAGGTCGGGGAGCTCACGAACGACCCGATCGGTACCGCCGGGAGCTCCAAAAACTTGCTCAGCGCCCGCTGCGCCATCGGCGGCTTCCCCTCCTTCGCCGATTTCCCGCTCCCATCGCCCGCGGCGCGCGCGACGACTGAGACGCGCTCACTCTCGCGCGTTCCCCGCGCGAACGCGCGCGCGCGCGTAGAACGCGCCGCCCGAGCGCGTCGAAAGCTGTTTGAACCCGAATCGTTCTTCAGCGTCGCTCCACCGCACGCTCGCGGCGCGCTCGACGCCCTCGACGCGCTCCGACGACGACGAACGTCATTACACGAGACACGTTCGCGCGTCGCGCCCGCGCGCGCGACGGAGAGACGCGGCATTCGTCGAAAGATTCAACTTTTCGAGCGTCGCGCACTGCGGGCGCGTCGTCACTTCCGCGCCCTCGCCCTCGCGTCGTTGGACGTGAAAACGCGATGGAAGACCGCGGGGTGATCGCCACCGCCGATGACGCGCTCCGGGCGAAGCGGTGCGCGCGCGTGACGACGCGCACGCGACGGTTGATAAAGTCACGAAATATACCAAAGATTGACGACGACGCGCGTGTAACGACGACGCAGGGACATCGCGCGCGCCGGGTACGTCGAGGACGCGTACATCGATCTGTTGTCGTCTCGAACGGAGCGCGCGTTGGTGAGGAGACATCCACCGCTCGTGCGGCGCGGGTACTGGGCGCGGACGGCGGCGACGCGCGCGATCGCGTTGGAGTTTGGATCGAGGTGCGAAAAGGTTTCCGATGGACGATTCAACGTGGTAAACGTGGGGTGTGGGTACGATACGTTCGGTCTGTGGACGCTCGATCGGTTTGAGCGTGCGAGGGTGGTGGAATTGGATTTCGCGGATGTTATTCGCGCTCGAAGCGAGCGATTGCGCGAGGCGGGCGTGGAGCGATCGGAGGTGTCGTACGAGTCGCGGGCGTGCGACGTCAGGGACGTGAGTGCGATCGATGCGGCGATCGGGGGGCTGAAAGAGCCGTTCGATTGGTCGTTGCCGACGCTCGTGATTGCGGAGTGCGTGTTGGCGTACCTACCGCCGGGTGCTTCAGACGCGGTGACAAAATTCTTTGGTGAGCGATTGAACACGGCGGTGTTCGCGTCGTACGATCCGATCGAGCCCGATGACGCTTTCGGGAGGCAGATGATCCGAAACGTTCGGGCGAGGGGATGCGCGTTCGCCGGCATTGGGGATGCGCCGAGCGTCGAGGGAGCGCGGGCCAGGTTCGAGCGCTCTGGGTGGCAACGCGCATTCGCGTACGACATGAACGCCGTGTACGCTCGTCTGAGTGCAAACGAGCGCGAGCGCATCGAGAAGATAGATTTTCTGGATGAATACGAGGAGTGGCGCTTGATACTCGCGCACTACTGCATCTCTGTTGGCGTGAACGATGCCGTCGGCGCGTTAGGAAATTTCGATCTCATTAGCGATTAGAACCTCCGATTAGCGGAACATCTAGATGTGTGTAAACTATAGCGCGCTACGTTTTCTTCGCCCTTTTTGCGCCGCTCTTCTCGCCGCTCGATCTGTGCGCGCGCTCCAAGGTGCCTAATTTCGTCTCTATCCAATTCGAGTCAAACTTTTGCAAGCGCAAGAACCCAGCCTCTCCGGCGCTCGCGAGCCACCAGCCGCCGTCTCGATCCTTCGACCACCGCGCGCAGTACTGTGCTGTCGTCGGCGCGTCCCGAGTTCCCGGCTTTGCCGCTTCTAGAGGTGGGTACAACTCCGCATCTGCGGGCACCTGCTCGTTGGACGTGATGAATTCAAAGCACTCCGGTGGTTCCACTGGGTTGGACTCGCACGCGCGCTTAGACTCGACGTCGTGCGCGAGAAGACCCGCAAATACGTCAAAATTGAACGCCTTCACGTCTCGCAGACGTTTGCTGACGTATCGCATCGGCTTGACGCACACAACGCCGTTCGACGTGGCGCATGCGAACATAGAGGCGGCGCACGCGGGATCGAATCCCGCACGAGCGTCCACACTCCACACCGTGCCACGACCAGGCACTGGGTGCATCGACGTTGGATTTGAGTCCTCGCCTTCCGTGGCAATGAGGTCGAACTGCACCACGAGCGCTCTCGATCGGACGTTCGCCGCAGTTTGTTTCGTCTCGCCGCGTATAGACTTCGCACTCGACCGATCTGAGTGCTCCATTCCCAACACCACCCCACCTCGCGGTAACCAAGCCATGTCTAACGTCCACTTGGCACCGCGCTCACACACGTCCCCGATCGGCGCGAATGGTGCTCGTAAATCAAATAAATGCGGCTTTGCAGCGTAATCAGAACCGCACGCCAAGATGTTTGCGCATGCGTTCTCGTCCTCAGGAATCTCACACCTCGGCCAACGCACCGCTCGACACGGTCCGGCGTGCGCAGCCGCAGCAATGACAAACTTCGGATACGTCGGCGAAGCGTCAGACTCATGGTCCGGGACGTCCCACACGACGACCCGTCCACTCGTGCACCCGGCGCACAGTCGTCCCGGAACGACGTCGTTCCAATCCAACCGCCATGGCGCACCGTAATCCCCGGGCACCACACCGACGAACATCGCTTTTGACTCTACGAACACTGTTTCGCCCGACCTCGTGCTCGGTCTCGGGACGTTCCACGTCTCCACTCGTCCGTCGCCTCTCGCGCACGCGAGCGTCCCGAGCGACTCTTCGTCTGAAGCCTCTATCCTCGTCCGATCTCGACCCCTGAACGGCGACCACTTCAAATCATGCGCGCATCCACCGTCGTGCACCATTCCAACCGCCATCCGCACCCCTGTGTCGCAAACGTCCCAAATTTGCACCGCCGCTTTGCCTGTACACTTTCCGACGTCTCTCAGCGCGTGTGCGTGATGCTTCTCGCCCCTCCCTTCACACGCCACGTGGGACCCGCTCGGAGTCCAATCGAGGGTCCAACACGACCCTCCGACGTACGCGACGACGTCCAGAGTCACCGGCGACGAGGAAACGGCGCTCGAGTGTTTGATTTCTACACTTTGGAATAATTCCAAAGAAATCACATCATCGTCGCCTCCGTCGCGATCTTCATCGTTCGGGCGCTTAAACCTCGGCGAGCGCTCACGGAGGGACTCCATGCACGTCGAGATCTCCCCGACGCGAGCGACGCGAGGCGTCAGGCTGAAACGTCAGACTGTGACGCAGCTCCAGACGATTGAAAAGCAATGTCCCACGTCGACGCCTGCGTCGGCACGGTGCGTTCTCGACGCGCGTCGACGGATGCGCATCGTCTCCACCTCACGCGCGTTCGACTGACGTCGCGTTCGCTCGCGCGCGACGTAGGTGGCGATCACGCTCGAACACAAAGAAAAGTCGTTACTCTTGAACGTCCCACGCACGGCGTCGCTCGGCGGATTCCTGGCGCGCACGGAGATCAGGGAGCGTCTGCGATTGATTCTAGACGTCCCCGAGCGCTTCACGGCGATCGAGGTTCGCGCGAGAGACGGGAAGGGGGAGTGGGAGCGATTCGACGCGCGGTTCGCGCACGCGAGCGCGCTCGCGGACTGCGCGTCAACCTTAGATGGCGTCTGCGGGATACGGTTGGAGGTGAAGGGCGATGATGATGATGCGATGCGCGTAGATTCGGGGTCGGGGTGGGACGATCTCGAGCGTGAGTGTCGACAGAGTTTTTTCAACGGCGTCAAGGAGGCGACGTACGCGACGCACGCGAGCGCGTCGAAAGCGATGACGATGACGCGAGAGAGCGCGGACGCGATGTGGGCGGCGGCGCAAAGAGGAGATTACGAAGGGCTACGAAGGGCGGAGAGCTCGAGCGCGGAGCTCAGAGAGGGGAGGAGAGAGGTGTTGCCGGTGCGCGTGTATGAAGTGCGAGACGGATCGTTCGCGCGCGCGGTGGTCGTGAGCGCGCCAGCGAGCGTCGAGCGACGCGACATCACGGTCGGGGACGCGCTGAGACAGTTTGGCGTGGATTTGAGGGACGTCCGGACGGTGATATCGCAGGGAATAGAGATTGATTTGGATTTTGATTTAGCGAAGACTCACGAGGCGTTGCGGCACGTTGACGGATTCTTGTATCTCGTGACGCACTGCGGTACTTCATCTTAGATGGAAATACAGTTACTCGTAGTCGGTCTTATAACAACAACAAACAGCGTTAGCTCACTTTTTCTTCGATGACTTTCCGGGAGAGTTGAAAAATCCGAAAAAATTGTTGGGTTTCTTCTTCTTCGGCACCGCAGACAGCGCGTTGCCGATGGTGAAACCCTTTAGCAAATCGATCGCGGGAACCTCAGTCTTGCGTGGGTCCTTCTTCGTCAGCATACGCGACAGAGAGTCGTACTTCTTCTTCACCGGCTTTGGCTTCCAATCTGCGTCTTTGCGTCGGTGATCGAAGCGGAGCCGCGTTCTTGTCGCCGACGTTCACGACTCGGCTACTGGGCGCCAGCACCGGTCTGCGCACGCCGTTCGAGATCTCGTTCGCGATTCGTTTCTTATACTCTCTAAAGTTGCGCTGCACGAGCACCACGGCCCATACGACGATTCGCATCTTTCGGATCTGGATCGCCGCCGTCTCCGGAACCTCTTCCCACTCGCGAAGCGCTTTCGAGGGTTGCCCCAACTCCTCGAAGCAGTCGCCCCGGCCGATCACCGCGCGCGTGCGCGCGTCCGAGATCTCTGTCCGATCGTTAAACTTTGTGCGATTTTCATCCGCGCCGCCGTATCCGCTCTCCGCTTGGTACGAGTCTTCCTCTTGCTCCATGAGCACAAGCGAAAGCTCCTTTGCCCGCCCAAACGCCTTCGCCGCGGTCGCGGGAACGTTGAAACCCTTCAAGTACAGGGTACCGATCTCGAGCCACACTTTCGGCGACGCCGGGTCGAGCTCGCACGCCCGCATCAGGGCGTCATCGGCGGCGTTGTAATCGCGCGCCAGCAAGAGCACGCGTCCGAGCGAGTACAACCCCTCCGCCGTCTCCTTCATCTCGTTCAGGGACTCGAGCTCGTGAATCGCCTTCGCGGTGTCTTTATCCTGAGAGAGTCGATACATGATCGTCTTGATCATGTTCGTGATCCGCATCGGCCTGTGCTTGGAATTAGTGCACACCGCGTTCATCGCGCGCGCCTCCTCGTCGTGCAGTCCCATGGCGCGATAACACGTCGCGAGGTTGCAAAAGACGTCCCCAGTCGACAGCGACGCCTCCTCGGCCTTGAGCATCACCATTCTAAAGTAATGCAACGCCGTCTCAGCGTCACCGAACGCCAACGACGCCTCCGCGCACGACAGATGAATCTGCGTCGCGCTTCGCTCCGCCGGCCCATCCGGCTGCAGCAGCAGCGCAACCTTATTCGCCAACAGCGACCGCCGCGGTCGTCCCGCGAGCTGAAACGCCCGACCCATCCTATACATCATCTCCGCATCGATCACTCCCCGAATCATCGATTTCACCTCCCCCGAGTTACACTTTACGACGTAATCCGCGATCGTCCGCGCCCGCGCGTCGCTCGCGTCCCGCTCGTCCCCTCCGTCCTCGTACGTCTCCTCGCACTCATTCCATTCATCCCTCACCCCCCCCGATCCTTCACCATCCTCCTCTCTATCCGTCACCACCGCGCGTTTCTTCTCAAACATCCCAGTCTCTCGCATCGCCGCCGCGTACGCCCCGCGCGCCGCGTTCGCGTCGCCGCACCCGAGCGCGGCGTCGCCCAGACCCAATCGCAATTCAATCCGTCGTCGCCCGCGCCCCGACCCGCGCCCGTCCTCGCCGTCGCGCACCGCGAGCGTCTCCAGGGCGAGCGCGTAGAACCCACGCGCGGGCCCGTACTCCCGTCGCGCCATCGATCCATTCGCGTGCCGCGTCACCGTCGAGACATTGAATTCTCGCAAACGCGCCCTCGAATACGCCCGCGCGTCGTCGGGCGCGCGCGCGACGGCGTCGATGACGTCGATCGGGAGCTCGCCCGCGTCGTCGGCGCGCGCGCACCGCATCGCGCGCGTCGCGAAGTGGGCGAATGGGCGCGTCGGGACGGGACGCGGCGCGCGCGCGATGCCGCGCGCGGCGACGCCGCGAACGCGCGCGCGATCGCACGAACAGCTGTGATGTACTATTACACGCGCGACGCCGCGGACGATGGCGCGGCGTCGGCGGCGGACGCGGCGTCCGCGGGCGCCTTTGCGCGAAACGCCGGCGGCGGAAACCATCGCTCGCGCAGGCGCACGTACGCGAGCTTGGTGTCCGGGCGGTGATGGAGGCCCCCGCGATCGCGTCGTTTCTTCCCCACCCGGTTCGCCGTGCGAACGTCCGCGACGGCGACGCCGACGACGCGTTCGAGGAATGATTTGATCTCCGTCTTGGTCGCGTCCGGGGTGGTGATGAACGTGACCTCGTCCACGCCCTCGATCGCGCGCTTGGCGTCGGGCGGGCGCAGGGTGAGGCGGAGGTTGGGGAGGGGGATCACCCGCCCGAGCCGCTTGGCGACGGAGGTCATCGCGAGAGGCGGGGGCGAGGTGTGGGGACGGGCGGGACGGCGGCGCGGCGGGACGACGGCGCGGGCGGAGGGCTCGGACGCGCGGTCGGTGGGTCAACAGACGCGGTCTCGGACGTCACCGATGGTGATTTCATGTGGGTCGAGGCGTGGACGCGATGAAGGCGCGCTCGCGACGATGTGGGTCGATCTGGAGCGCGGTGCGCCGGGCGAGCGGGCCGTCGTCGGCGCGAAAGTACTCGGCGGCGACGACGGCGTCGAATTCACACGCGAGCGCGGCGCACATCTCGCAGCACTGGAGCGTGATGAGTAACGTCGTGTCCGGGTCCAGTGCGTCTGGGGTCTGTGCGTGCGCCGAAGTGGTTCTGAGATTGAGGAGGAGGTTCATCTCGGCGTGGAGCGCCTTGTTCGCCCCGTTCGTGTTGGCGGCGACGCGGTAGATTCCGCGACTGGGTGAGTGCAGGGCGGCGAACACCGCGCGGTTGGTGCGACGTCGTGACCGCCGCGGCGATGGGTCATCGTCGTCGACGCGAGCGTCATCGTCGTCGATGGCGTCGGGTCGGAGCGCGGTTTCGGCGGCGGCGAAAAACGCGCGCGCGTCCGGCATCTCCTCCAACCTCGGGAGCGCCGCGCACAGGCGTTCGCTCTCCTCGATTCCGCGCGTTATCGCGCGTGATGCGTCCTCGGTGACGTCCACGAGCGCGTCGTCGTCGTCGTCGTCGTCGTCGTCGTCGCGCTCCGTCCCGGACGCCGCGTCTTCGTCCGCGCGCGCCGTCGCGCGGTCGAACGCCCCCAGCGCGGTCACCGTCCTCGCGCACACCTTCACCATCGCCCGATCGAACGTCGATATCTCACCCGCCGTGGTGAATATCCGTCCTCGCATCCACGAATCCGCGTGGTTTCGCCGCGCGCCCGTCGTCGCCGCCGCCGCGTCCCGCTCGCGCTCCCGCGCGCCCAAAATCAAATTCACCACCGCACTGCGCGTCGACGTCGACCTGGCGTATCGCGCGCGCTCGCGCGCGATCCCACGCGCGTTCGGCGGCGCGCGCACGAACGCGACGTCCGCCTCGGCGTCGCTCGCCCGTCGCACGTCGTCCGCCAGGGTGAAATCACGCACGGTGGGCGTTCGCGGGCCTTTCCGACGCCCGTGCGCCCGGGCGACGGCGTCGCGCGATCGCCCGCGCGCGCGTCGACCCACGCGGCGTCGCGTCACGCGCGCGGGCGCGCGGGCGACGCGCATGGCGGCGTGGCGACGACGCGCGCGCGCGGGGCGCGATGACATGTCGCCAATGTCGAACGCGTGAGTCATGACTCGTCATGACCCCCTCGGCGGACAGACACGACACATCCTGTAATGCACTTGTATAGTACGCACCCAATGCTCGTATACAAGGATGTACGAACGGGACCAGCGCGCGCACACGACGCACCGACCCACCTCGCACTCGTCGACGCGCGCGTGGCCATGGCGACGCCGTCGCTCACCCCCGGCGCGGTGCAAAAGATCCGTGACGGTGCCGTCGCCGCCGCGGGGGCGTGCGTGCAGGTGGGTGGCGACGCGACCGCGCGCGCGGGGGAAAAAAAACGCGACGCGGGCGCGGCGTTTGAATTTCACGGCACGCATCGATCGCGACGCGGCGAGCGATGCGACGCGGCGTCGCGCGCGTGATCGCTCGGACGCTGACGAGTGATTTTTTCTTCGCCCAGGTGCTCGATTTCAAGAGCGCGGACGCGGCGTACAGGTGGGTGACGACGCGGGAGGGATGACGCGTGCCAACGACCGGCGGTGTCGATGGGTTTGAACGGTTGGCGCGCGCGGCGGGCGGGATGTTTGACGACGTCACGCGTCGAGGGCGCGCGCGAACGCGTCGAGGGCGCGCGCGCGCGGTGACTGACGATTGTGCGCGACGATGGTTTCGTACGCGTTCGCAGCGCGACGCTGAACGATGGTGAGAATACGATCGAGGCGCAGTTTTCGAAATCCGTGTGCGCGACCAAGCTGTCAAAGGTGACGGATCGCGCGGTGCTCAAGCTCACGGACGTCGCGTACGACGGCGCCGAGGGGGGCGAGCGTAAGCCCTTCGCGGTGATTAACGGGTTCGAGGTCGTGAACGCGGACGGTTCGATCGCGGTCGAGGCGAAGACTCCGGGCGAGAAGGTTCCGAAGACGGAGCCGAAGACGCCGGCGAGCGCGGAGCGCAACGCGGTGCCGCTTTCGGCGCTGAATCCGTACCGAACGCCGTGGACTGTCAAGGTGAAGCTTTCGAACAAGGGTAACGTTCGCGAGTACAAGAGCGCGCGCGGGCCGGGTAAGGTGTGCTCGGTCGATTTCGTCGACGAAGAGGGCACCGCCATTGGCGCCACGCTCTGGAGAGAGGCGATCGAAAAGTACGACTCAGTTCTCGAGGTTGGCAAGGTTTACTACGTCTCCAAGGGCACTCTCAAGCCCGCCGATAAGAGATACTCCACCTCGGGTAATGACTACGAGATGAACCTCGATGGCAAGGCTGAGATCGAGCTCTGCACTGACATCGACCAGTCCAGCGCTCAAAAGATGCAGCGCGCATACGCGTTTGTCTCCATCGATAAGCTCTCGACCAAGATTGGAGCTCGAGGCAACGTTGACGTCGTCGCCGTCGTCAAGGAGGTGAGCGAACTCTCCACCATTCGTCGCAAGAGCGACAACACGGAGCTCACCAAGCGCGAAATCGTCTTGGCGGACGACTCCACAAAGACCATCAGGATGACCCTCTGGGGCGATCTCGCTGTCGAACAAGGCGAGAAGTTGGCGGCGATGACGAATCCGATCGTGGCCATCCGTTCCGTTCGCGTCAGTGACTACGATGGAGTCTCCGTCGGGACCGTCTCTCGCTCTGACATGGTGATTGATGCCGACGACATCCCGCGCGTCGCCGAACTCAAGAAGTGGTGGACTGAGGGTGGCTCGGAGACCACGTTCTCCGCCGCGGGCGAAGGTCTCACCAGCGCGGGACAAGGACAAAAGCGAGACATCGAAACGATGAACCTCGCCGAGCTTCAACCCGAGGAAATCGCTCCGTCTACGGACAAGCCTGTGTTTGCGTGGGTGTGCGCGCACACCATCCTGTGCAAGCCGGATCAAACCATGTACTACGCCGCTGTCCCGGAAGAGGGCAATAACAAGAAGGTCGTCGAAAGCGACGGGAAGTGGTACTGCGAGGCAAACGGTCAAACTTATGACACGTGCGAACGCCGCTACATCATGCGCTTCAAGGCTATTGACGGCTACGAAGGCGCTTGGTTGAACGCCTTCAACGATGAAGCGACAAAGATGTTCGGCATCTCGGCCAACGAGCTGCACGAGCTCCATGAGAATGACTACAAGGCGTACGAAAACGCGGTCAAGAAGATGACGTATAAGCATTGGTCTTTCCTCGTCAAGGTTGTGACGGAGGAGTATCAAGGAGAGCTCAAGCGACGCCTCACCGCGGTGAAGTGCAACGCTGTCAACTACGCCGCCGAATCAAAGAGACTTCTCTCCAAGATGGGCATCACGGCTTCGAATTAAGTGAAGACATCTATTCCGTCTCTCGTCTATAGTGTATACACGTGATATTGCATAGCTAAAAATCACCTACCGCTCCCCTTCTGTGCGTCGAGACTTGATTCGACTCAACCGCTCGAGCAATGACTCCGTCTCCGTCGTCTTCTTCGCCGCAATTCGCGCCGTCGCGCTCGACTTGAGCTCAGCCTTCACAGAATTCTTTCTCGCCAACAGCTCTCGGGCCTTTGCGAGCCCCTTTTCCTTCCGCTCCCGCTCCTTCGCCTTGCGCGCCTCCTCGGCTTCGATCCTCTCCCTCTCAATCCGATCGCGCTCTTGCTCGTCGCGTTTCGCCTGCTCCATCTTCGCGTTTAAATCTTTCGTCGTGTGCTCCCGAACTCTCTGCTTGGCTTCTTCAAGTCTCTTTGCCTCCATCTCCACGCGCCGCGCCTCTTCCTTGATGCGTTTTGCCTCTTGTTCTACGCTCTCCTGCGTTTTGTGTTCCTCCCACGCCTTCACCGCCAATGCGCGCTCTCGCGCTCGTTCAACATACTTTGCATCACGAGAGATTTCGTTCGGAGAGACGTATTTTTCTGCGAGCCTCGATTTCGTCGCCTCGATCAAGCGTTCGACATTTTTGACGCCCTCTGTCGTCATCGTCGTCTCCTCCGGATTGGACAGAAACTCTCGATCTGCCTCGCTTAGATACGAAGCCAACTCGACGCCTTCGCTCGCCCACAATTTCAACTTGTCATGAATCGATGCTCGAGGGAAGAAAGCGGCGACGTTGGCGATGACTTCCCATCGCTCGTCGTCGAATGTCTCTCGCGCCGGTTCGCGCGAGTCGACGAGAACGTTCGCAAAAAACGTGTCGACAACATCGCGCATATCGTCCTCGTGCCCCACGTTTTTCCGAGTGACAATGACGCACCGCGGTCGCGCGACGCCGTCGGGAACGGGTACGAGACACGAGAACGCTTCTCGTACGCCCTCGCACGGATTTCGCGCGTCGTCCGCGCCGTTCACCGCGCAAAAGTGCACACCGTTCGCTCGAATCCGTCGCAGGAGCGCGTCTCCGTCGCGCTCTCCCGCCACCATCTCCGGACACACGCGAGCGTAAAACATTCGAGCGTCCTCTAACGTCGGTACCTCTCGCTCGCCGTCGGACACGCGAAGCCAGAGCGCCGCCGGCAGCGACATCGCGCGAGGCAACCACGCGTCGTTCGCGAGCCCGTACGCGAAAGATGAGAACCCAATCATGGGCGCACACGCGACGATTTTGAACCCCCACGCCGGGCTCCAGCCGCTCGCGGCGCACGCGGCGTACATCCCGCCCAAGGACTCGCCCGTTAACAAGACGTTTCGCGCGCCCAGCGCTCGACACACCCGCAAACAATCCACCGCCCCATCGATCACGTACGGCCGATCACCGTACGCCCGCGTCCCATCGTGCGCGTACGCCCGCGCCAACACCTCACCGTACGTCCTCCCCTCGATCGCCCGTTCGCCGTGTCCCGGCGCGTCGAACGAAACCGCCGCGTCCACCCACGCGCGTCTCGTCCACGCGCGCAATCGCGCCTCCACCGCCTCCTTTCTCGATCCCGTGGCGTGCATGTGCACGACGACCACGCGCATCGTCCCACGCGCGCCTTTCCCTCGCCACCGCTCGTACGTCACCGTGGGAATAACATCCGTCCCCGCCGCGCCGCGCACGCGTCCGCTCGCCCGCGTCGCCGTCCATCCATCCCCCCCGTCCGCCGTCCGCGCCCTCGACGTCTCCGCGTACGCGTCGTCGATGAACGCACCGACGTCGAACCCGACGTCGACGCCGTCGCCCGCGCGCGC